GGTCTGTTCGAATTTGAAAACGTTCGAATTCGTCGTACCCCCATTGACGCGGATTGCACCCGATTTTCAAAATTCATCTTGTACGCAAAATGCCGTCGGCGTGTCTCTGCGTACTTTGCATCGAATTCGCCGACATAATCGATTTTGATTTTGAAGTTATTACTTCAGCTTTATTCTCTGTAGTTTTCTAGAATATTTCTCTACAAACAGTTCCACAGATGAAAACATTTTTTTTGTCATTCAGGACTTTAAATTATGAACAAATTCCAGATGGATGAGACAGTTGTCAAAGAAGAAATCATCGAAGAGGAGTTCAATTTTACGTTCAAAAATGGAGAATACGCCGAAGTGAAACAAGAAGAAATTGAACGAAAACCTGAATATCTTCTAGAACAAGAGATCAAAATAAATCCCTCAGAGTTATTCGAGGCTGATGAGCCGGATGATGAATTTTTCGAAGCGGTCCAACTGAAGAAAGTGTCCATCACAGGAACCACAAAGTTTAAATGCGGAATTTGTCAGAAAATGATGCCGAAAAATTGTTTGAAATTGTTCAAGTCGGAAGACAATAAAACTGTGTTGGCTGAAATGTTCAAAATTAAAGGCTTTAACAACACAAAGACGATTTTTGTCTGTGTTTCTCATATTCAAACGATTATCGATGATTATGACGGCAAATGGAAGTTACCGAAAACTCCATTTGAACAACTTTTGCGTTCATTCATCACACAAAACAAAAGAATGATGCAAGTCAACAAAAAGAAATCGATCCATTTGAAAATTAGAGTTTTCAGGAAAGACATGACATCATCGAGAGCTGATTGCGGAATTGGTCTTCTTCCGAAACGAAAAATAAGAAACGAGCCGATCGATTTTTCCAGAAATAAGAATTCGGATAAATTTTTCGAGAACACAGAACTGAAGCCGAAAAAAAGCGATTATAAAACTGAGAAAGAAGTCAGTACTAGTTAAAAAATACTTTTAATTTTGAACAATTTTCAGATGATCGGAGCGGTTATCAAAGAGGAAGTCATCGAAGAAAAACATTATTATGCGTTCAAAAATGAGAATTTCGTCGAAGTTAAACAAGAAGAAATTGAACAGAAACCTGAATATCTCCTAGAACAAGAAATCAAAATGGAGCCGATCGATTTTTTTGACGCAAACAAGTCTGATAGTTTTTTCGACGACGTCGAACTGAACCCGAAAGAAAATTATTCTAAAGGGGAAAAGGTGTCCGCAGAATCCACTAAGTTAAAGTGCGAAATTTGTCAGAAAACTATGCCGAGAAATCTTTTGCAACTGATCAAGTCGGAAGACAATAAAACTGTACTGGCCGAAATGTTCAAACTTGAAGGATCTCTGGAAACAAGGATATTCTATATCTGTGTTTCTCATATTCAAATGATTATTGATGATAACGACGGACAATTGAAGTCAACGAGTACTCGATCTGAGCAACGTTTGCGCACATTCATCTCAACGCACAAAAAACTGATGTAAGCCTAAAAAATGGATAATTTTATTAGTTTGTCCGATTTTCCGAGCATCACCAATTTGTGAAATGTTTTCAAGGAGTTCTATGTCAAGTTGGGAAGAGAAAAGGACGTTCAGAGGTCCGAGGAATGAAGGAAGAGGCAGCTGCTGCTGGAAACCAGGGAATCAAGCGAAAGTTGAGGAGCTATCAGCAAGAAGACGTCCGTGAGGAAAAAAATTCAACGGACTAATCGATTACGATGAGCTTGATGAACAGGAGTGGGTCAATCCGGGATTCCCAAAGCGCGTGAAGATGGAATATGAATCATCAGCTCGGCCACCTACTACGCAGGCGAAAATCAGCGTCATGTCTCTTGTGACTCATATTGAAACTATCGCAATGTACTATGGCCTGAATAGTCTCCAAAATAAGGCTTCTCTGGCAATTGGAAAAATGAACGACTTTGGAGAAAATAAGGTTTAAATGATTTTTTGTGAAATTACATCATTTTAGACTTTTTCAAACTCTATCTGTTGCAAATTTCAATTCCCTGATCGACGCTTTGATGATTCGTATTGAGGAGAACAGAATTCGTCGAAACGCAACGTCGATTTCTCTGAAATCACTTCTCAAACACCTTCAGCTTTATCTGATTCGCCCTCTTAGATCTGAAGAAGCATTGGAATCGATTTCTCAGAAAATTCAAGAGATTGGAGACAACAACGACGAGGTAGGATTTTCGATGTTTCTTTTGAAAAAAAAAAATCGATTTTTGCAGGTTCCACCAACCCTCATCGGCGAGATCCTGAACTTTTTCCTGATTTCCACCGGATTCTGTGCGCAATTTGATGAATATTTTCTATGCTTGTCTGAGAAAAAAGGTTAGAAAGTATTGTTTGCAGTCTAAATACGGTAGCGATATCGAAGCGGTGAGGCTAAATAGCACACATAAGCAGGAGACGCAGACACTTTTTCTCTGCGTCTCAACCTTTTTTTCCTCAGACAAGCATAATGAGTCTGGAATAATGTTACCATCTGGAATAATGTCAACCATCTGGAATAATGCTTTCCTTGTTTTCCCGCTTTGTTTTGATGTTTTTTGTCCCTTTTTACCTAGCTTATAAGCACATTTCTCACTATTTTGACTAGTTTTTTTAAAAGGATTTCGCACTTAATTCCGCTTTCTCTTAATTTCTGTCCCTTTTTATATAACTTATAAGCGCATTTCTTACTATGTTGACCGGTTTCTTTTCAAGAAAATCATGATAAATTCCCCGATGTTTTATTAATGTGTCCGCAATATGTCGTCAGTGTGTATTTGCGTACGCCACGTTTCATGCATCGAACTTGACGACGAAACGAAAACTTTGCAGATGTAAGTGTTCTTTTTGAGTTTTATTTGACTTCTAACTTCTAAAAAATTTTTTTTCCAGATTCAATATCGACCTGAACAAAATATGCTTCGAAACAACAACGATTGCCGGCGTTTTCGAACCAAAAAAAAAGAAATAAACCTATTCATTTAAAATTCTGAAATAAAATAAAAACATTGTATAGGAAATAGAGGTTAAGATGGGATTTTTAGGGAATTTTAATAGGTTTTCTGGGTTCTGAGCTATATTTATTCATATGTTTTATCATTCCTTCTTTAAAAAGAACTGATTTATCTGTAATTTATCAAGGAAAATCGGCGAAAAAGCAGAGGCAAAATACCCCTCGCTATTTCTAAAGGATTACGATCGGCGAAAATGTGTACACACCACGACGCAAATTCACACAAAAACATTTTTTCGATGTTACGGTCGGCAAAACTGTGAAAACACCATGACGCAAACACGCACAGAAACATTTTTATCGAAACTTCCCTTGCAGATTACTATGCAAAAATCTCATCTGAAATGTCGGATTTGCTGAAAATCGACGATAAAGCAATTCTTTCTGTGCTTCTTTATCAATTTCTGCATGGAAAATCTGCATATTCATCGTTCAAAGAATTCAATAAAGTCGTCAAAGACAATTTTATCAGTCGGGATGATTTCAAATTTTGGTTCGACAGATTTTCAAGCGGAAAACTCGATGAAGAAGATGATAATTTGTAAAGAATTTTCCTTTTTTTTTAATTTCAAAAAGCAAAACTTTTCCAGATCGATTTCCGATATGAAAAAAATGCTGTCAGATGACAAGCACCGCCTCAAAGCCTGTATTTTCTTTGAGTATCTGAAAGAGATCGATAAAATCTTAATTCCCGAATTCTGTCACGAAGAAGTGTTTGTGGCTTACAAGAGAATGAGCCAAGTGGTTGTTATCCGATATTGATCTCCTCGAGATCTGTTTCCGGGATGTCAACGGTCTCGAGAACCTTCTGAAGCCTTCTAACGCCAACCTACACGTGGAAAATGTGCGCATGGTTGTATCAGCTGCTGATCAATTTGCAAGTACTCTATCGCATTTGAAACCAGGAGTACGGAAATCTATAGAAGTGAAATATGAGGGATGGGCAGGATTTCTACGATTTCCTCCGCCCACACTTCCATTATCTCTTGAATATCTCACGGCATCGCGGTTGGGAACCTGAAAAAAGCGCGCTTCGTCGCGCACAAAAGTTGGCTGCATGCCAGATTCGAAAATTTCAAAACGTGTTTTGAAAAATACGTAAATTTAAGCGTTGTTGAGTCGCTACTCACCGAAAAGCCGCGACGCGACCGCGCAACGCGTCCAAACTTGGCGCGCTTTCCAATTTTTAAATCTAGGCTCCCTTCCGCGAGGCCGTGATATCTTATCGCTTTCCCTAACATCCGGAATGTTCGGTTACCACATATCGATTTAAAGCAGCTTCAAGAATTGAAGGAAGTACGTAGAAATTGTGAAAGTTTTCATTAAAATTATCTTAATTTCAGACACTTCTGAAACTGCACCACATTGAGTCCTGGTACTTCCCGCCGATTTATCCTTTCGATTACCATGCAATCTATAATCGTTTTGGACCAATTGAAGATGGTGGTGCCCGCGACCTCGATATCCCCAATACAAATGCATACTATAAAATTATCTTTGGCTGGGATAAAACTAGCATGAAAAAACGAATTTATTGAATTTTTTTTGCTCTTTGTTGTTGTTATCATTGCTACTTGTTGTAATTTGTTGTTATTTTTTCCAATAAATTGCTGTTTTTTTCAACGAATTCAAATCATTCCGCCAAATTTCCTGAGATCTGGAAGCACTCGGTTGTTAGTCCAATATTCAAGAAGGGATCCAAATATGACGCTAATAACTACAGGCCCATAACGCTCACTTATGCACTTTCCAGACTCTTCGAAAGATTAGTCCTTGAAGAGCTAAAACGTGCTATCGGTCCGAGTATTTCTCCGAATCGGTACGGATTCGTCAGTAAGCGATCCTGTGTTCTAGCCGTCCTTGAGTCCACTTCCAGAATACAGAAAACCTTAGCAAATAAGCAACAATTCGTAGATGTTATTTACTTTGATTTTCGCAAGGCATTCGACACTGTCCCACACAATCTCTTGCTGCTGAAAATGAGGCGAATTGGTATTGATGAACGATGCTGCGATTGGTTCGAGTCCTTTCTCAGCAACCGCTCATCCAACGTCAAGGTTAATGGCCTAATGCCAATCAGCGAGATTGTTGTCAAATCCGGAGTCCCCCAAGGAAGTGTCACTGACCGCTTTTTGTTGCTGATCTACATTAACGACTTACTCGGCCTCTTTCCTCCTAATGTTCATGTCACGGCGTTCGCCGACGACCTAAAAATAACCGGTTCCGACCCATTGGATATACAGAGAAGTATCGAAATCGTCGAGCACTGGTGTGACATCTGGAGACTCAAACTAGCCGAAAATAAGACGGCCGTTATGCATTATGGTAAACGCAATCCTAAGACAGTTTATTTTATTAAGGGTTCCCCCATTACTCCGCATCGCTCATTCAAGGACCTAGGTATACTAGTTGATGATCAACTTCAATTCGACAAACACATCAATCTTATTGCCTACTCTGCTAAACTCAAGTCCCGCCAAATACTGAAAACGTTCCAATCGAAGAACCCTTGTTTATATTTCCGTCTCTTCGACACCTACATTAGACCGGTCCTCAAATACGGTTGTGAACTTTTCGATCCATCCAATGCCACACTTGCCAATAAACTAGAATCTCCTCTTCGTTATTTCACCAGAAAAGTCTTTCAGAGATGTAATATGCCCTTCAATTCATACACCGATCGCCTATCCCAGTTCTCTATGCTAACCACCCTTCATCGCCGCACCCTTCTAGTTCTTCGTACCTATCACAAAATTGTTATAAACTCATACCATTTTCCCTCTATTTCGTCCTACATTCTTCCCAGCCATTCTAACAGAGCCCCGTATTTGTTCAAAATCAACGGTCAATACTTTGACTGATTCCTTCACAGAAACTTGTCTATGTGGAACCGTGTATGTAAGGTGATAAATTCTAAGCTCAGTCCGATGGCGTTTGCTAAGCGAGTAGGAGCGATTCCTTATGATATTCTGATCCCTCCCACTTGACCTACAGGACTCTAGTCGGTCCGTCTGGTCATTTTACTTTTTTATTTGTACAGGTCCCATTTCTTGCCAAATTATCTATCGATTTCCCCCCATGCATTGCAAATAAATATATTAATATTGAAATTTCAAGTGTTTTTTTGGCTTCCTTTTAGGGATTTTGGGCGATTTTTATGGGTTTTATTGGCATTTAGCTTTTTAAATCAATATTTTTAGCATTTTTCTTCAAAAAACCGATGTATTCTGTAATTTTATCAAGGAGAGTATTATCCTTGTCAGAGAAAAAAAAGGTTGAGTCGAAGTGTATGCGATGTTTGTAAACAAATATCTGAAAGCGTAAACAACCGGAAACGGGGGTACGACGAATTCGAACGTTTTCAAAATCGAACAGACCTAAAGTCGAACTGATTCAAATCAGAACAGTGTCTTTCTCGAACAAGTATCAAAACAGAACAAGGACAGAATCAAACTGTTCTAATTCGAATTGCGCACTGTCGAACTGTCCCAAATTGGAACGCTGTTAGCCGCCGAGCGCGCTTGCATTTCTCTTCAAATTCTCGATCAAATTCAAAATTTGCGAAGAAAACAATGAGAAAAGAAAAATAATGCAATCGCGCTCGGTGGCTAACAGCGTTCCAATTTGGGACAGTTCGACAGTGCACAGTTCGAATTAGAACAGTTCGATTTTGTCCTTGTTCTGTTTTGATACTTGTTCGAGAAAGACACTGTTCTGATTTGAATCAGTTCGACTTTAGGTCTGTTCGATTTTGAAAACGTTCGAATTCGTCGTACCCCCACCGGAAACAGTTGAAACGAGTGCGACAGTAACCCGGCGGGAAAATATTAAATTTACT